AGAAATTGATTATGGAATGTTTTATTTTAACATGATAAATAAAATATTTTAAGACAAGGTGTTCAAATATTTTCCAAATCATTTCTAAAATATATAATGGTATCAGATTGATCTAATTTCTGTGCACTGAGGACAAGCGAGTCCTAGGTTACAAACTGAACTCTCCAATGCAAGAACAAGATGCATTTCTTCCTTTAGGAGGTGCGATTGTCAGAAGAAAATAAAAAGGTTTCAGTTTTGTTTTTGCATGTGGGTGGGTATTCTGTTTGTAATAATTGTTTGGGTACACTATATTTTTAATATGCTAGTTGTGATAATTTCATGCCAAGTAAAAATGTCCATAGTCATTTTTTATGTTCCTAAAGTAACAGAATGACTTTCAATCTAGAAAAGACAAAAGAAATGCTAATGTTTTTTTCCGAGCTTCAAAATTTCCGGAAATTTTACATCTCTACTCCATAATCATATGTTCAACGGTTTCGATGGCATGATATGAACATCTGCATGTTCTGTTAGAGTATGATACTTTATTATATCTGCCCTCCAAAACTGCTGAGGGAAGAACGTTCAGTCTTGCCAAAGTAAAAGCTCTTCTTAGGGTTACATCATGTTAATAAATACAATAAAATTTAAAATAGATTATAAACATATAAAATCAGTAGTTGCAGTTTGCCGTTGAGAGATTCCAGCAGGGGACATCATAGAGGTTTATGCATGGGATAGTATGTACAGAGAGAACTTTTTCTTCTTCTCCCAGAATACTAGAACTTGAGGGCATCCAATGAAGTCGATGGGCAGTAGATTCAGGAAGGACAAAAGGAAATATTTCTTTACATGACAAGTGGTTAAATGTAGAAGTTGGTGCCAGGGGATGTAATGATGGCCACAGGCAGACAGCTTTAAAGGGGGATTAGAGAGATTTACAGAGGACAGGTCTCTCAGGGGATGTAATGATGGCCACAGGCAGACAGCTTTAAAGGGGGATTAGAGAGATTTACAGAGGACAGGTCTCTCAGTGGCTACTAGCTATGATGACAAAATTCAAAGGCAGTAAACCTCCAAATATCAGTGGCAGGAGGCAACATCGGGGAAGGCCTTGGCCCTCATGCCCTGTTGTCAGACCTCCAGAGGAATTGGTTGGCCACTGTGTGAGACAAGATGCTGGACTTGATGGACCCAGCAGGTTCTTCATATGTTCTTATGAGTGCCCACCCACTTAATCATGAGAGTCTCCAGGCATGCAGAAAAATAGTCTTCTAAATTAATCAAGGCACAAAATCAGCTTGATGAGGGCTGAATATGCACCAGGAGTGCAGAACACTGAGAACAGGTGAGGGTCAAATTTAACTTGTGTATGTCTTTGGAATCTCATGAGGAGCTTATATATGGGGAGATTTGGGGGGGGGGGTAGGATTTTCACATTGTTCCCTCGTCCTTCTATTCTACATGGCACTCTAGTTTCTTAGCTATAACCTGAATGGCACCCTGGAAACGTAGCAGAGACTAGAACCCCAGGCTCAATATGCCCTTCTTTCTTTTTTGAACATATTTATTTCATTTATACCCCACCTCTCTCCCAAATGGGGACCCAAAGCAGCTTACGTAGTTCTCCTGTCCTCCATTTTATCTTCATAACCACTCTGTGAGGTAGATTAGGCCCAGTTTCCATGGCAGAATGGGGATTCAAATCCCAGACCTAGTGCGACACTCTAACCATTACACCACACTGGTCGTTTAGCCCCGCCCCCCATTCTACCCACTTAATCAGAACAAAGTGTTCTTCAAGCAAAAGAAAGTACCTAGACTGTACACATTCATGTTTACACACACAGGCAATAATGCCTGCCCTTCACTACCCAAAGGAGTCTCAGAGCGGCTTACAAACTCCTTTCCCTTCCCCTCCCCACAACGGACTCCCTGTGAGGTAGGTGGGGCTGAGAGAGCTCTTGACAGAAACTGCTCTTTTTCAAGAACAGCTCTTGTCAGAATACGGCTTGCCCAAGGTCATCCAGCCAGGTGCAAGTGGAGGAGTGGGGAATCAAACCCAGTTCTCCCAGATTAGAGTCCGCGCACTTAACCACTACACCAATCTTACTGGGCCTACCATCAGCTTTTCTGATTGTCATGCCAGAGTGGCAGTGTATTAAATTGTTTTATAGAATATTTGTATTTTTATTTATGTTTTGTATTTATATTGTTAACCACCCCGAGCCCTGATTGCTGGGAAAGGGGTGGGATAAAAATCAAATGACATAACATAAATAAAACATCCTGTGGTTTAAAACAAATCTGCCTTGAGTCCCTGTGAGAAAGGTGAATTATAAATAATATAAATAAAATACATCTTCCAGGACACAGCCCTTCATTATCATCATCTGCTTGACCCAGTCCAATTACAAATGTGAGTTCCAAAATATAAAACACAACAGGCAAAATTAAGGCATTGAAACATCCCCATTTCTAACATATGCATGGATCCTTACCACTTAGAGCTACATTCATAGTACAAATAAACTGGATTAACTTTTTGTTAATTTTTAAGGTCCTACTGGGGGAGAGAAAGTGACATGGTATATCCTAATCTTGGAAGCTAAATAGCAGGGGTCATTTTGGGGGGGGGACGCCGGGGGACGCCATCCCCCGGGTGAGGTGCGGGAGGGCGGGGCCTGGAGCTCCCTGCTGGTGCCCGCTGGAGGTCGCCGCCGGCTGTGGGGAGGACACACTTCCGGTGATGTCAGGGTGTGTGGCATATGCTAATGAGTTATGCTAATGAGTCCCCCTAGCTCTTTTTCTACGAAATGACCCCTGCAAAATAGGGTCAGCATTTGGATGGGAGACCACCAAGGAAGACTCTACAGAGGAAGACAAAGGCAAACCACCTCTGCTGCTCACTGGCCTTGAGAGTCCCTTGTTGGAGTTGCCATAAATTGGCTGCAACTTGGTGGCACATACCCATGTAAGGTACCACTGGACACCTATTTTATTTTGATGCTACAGACAAACATGGCTGCCCATCTCAAAGTTTCAGAGAAGAGCCATTCCACAAAGTTGTGGCTAAGGTTACTGTTTTTATTTCTCAATTATTTGAACCTGGGTCTCCCCAGGCCTAACCGATATATTGAAGTATATTGTTTGCTGTTTACGGTCAGAGAAAGTTAAATTGCATGTGCTTTTGTTATAAGCAGTGTTATACAAGGGCAAAGGAGTTCAAATGTCTGGTGGCCATGACGTTTACTGAATGTCCATGCTCAGCCCCAGAGCCAGAAAATATTTGGTGAGGGGGCAGGGGCGGAGGGCCCACAATGTGGTGACGTCACTTGTGGCATCACCCAGAAGTTACTCTCCTTCTCCCTCTGTTCACAGAGGACTCTCCTGTGTGCCAGGAATGGAGAAGGAGAGTTGAGGCAGGCAGGCAAGCAAGGCTGTGGGCGGTGAGCAGAAAGAGGCCGCTGCGGCCCTGCCTGCCTGTCTCTTCAGCTCTCCCAGCAGCAGCATGGTGGCCCATAGCTACAGTGGGGCATTTGGGGGGCTCGCACCCTTAATTAAAAGCCCTGCCCCACAAATAGCCATGCCAGAAATCTTATTTTTGCATGTTTTCCAAAGGCTCATGGGAATGCTTCTGAAAGACTTATCATGACTTGGGTGGTGCACCAGGGGTGGGGGGATGTGGCATCCTCCATGGGGGTGCAAGGCTCATCTGTGGGGAGCACTGCCCCCAAATTTCTCCCGTGGCTACAGGCCTGGCTTCAGTAATGATTTAGTCAGTAATTTTCCCTCAGCCTAAGCAGCCTCATAGGGTTGTTGGCAGGGCTATTTTTGGGCAGGAACGCACAGGAACAGAGTTCCGGCTGGCTCCCAAGTTGACCTCACCCAGCAGGAACTCATTAGCATAATAGGCCACACCCAACAGCAGAAACTCATTAGGATAGGCTACATTAGGGGTGTGTGGCCTAACATGCAAAAGAGTTCCTGCTACAAAAAAAGCTCTGGGTTTTGACAAGGTAAACAGAATAAGAAGCAAAAGGTGGGTGTGGCTGGATGACCTCACTTCTGGTAACATGTGGGTGTGGCCTAATATGCTAATATACTGTGCTGTCAAGAGTGTGGCCTAATATGCTAATGAGTGTCTGCTGTTGGGTGTGGCCTATTATGCTAATATATTTCTGCTGGGCTTTTTCAACAAAAAAGCCCTGGTTGTTGGGAAGATAAAATGGAGAACAAGAGAATTCTGTAACCAGCCCTGAGCTTCTTGAAGTTAGGGTTGGACAAAAGTATAAAGAATAAACTGCTTGCAAAAACATTTGATGTATAATGATAAAAGTTACTACAGATATTGTGACTATCCAGGGGTTGAAATTGCATAACTATTTCTTAATCCCATTATGTTACATTTTAAATGTGGCTAGGTTGTCAAATGTTTAGCATATGTTATACGCCACCTTCCAGAAATCCAGAGGTTCCTCCTCTGGTAAATTCATGCTGGAATAAATGTTTGTCTTCACGATGTCATAGGACTCCGGTTTGATTCCCCTGAAGTGTGAACCAACCGATGAGCATAGCAAAATGAAGCGCGGGATCTAAATATTTGGACCAGAAATAACCTGAAGGCGCTGAGCAGCTTGCCCGATCGTGATGTAAACTCCTGTCATTGTGCAGCTTCGGTCCGGAGACAAAAGACAGGCGTTCTCGGGCAGCCCTCGAGGGTCTCTGCAGGCAGCCGCGCTCCCCGGACGAGGGCCGGGTTCCAGCCCCTTCGGCGCTTGCGTGGGGGAGCCTCCCTCTCTCGGAGCCGAAGTTTCCTCTCCCCCACAGCGTCTGACCGGCTGGAAGGAGTAGAAGGCGCTAAACGGTAAGGAGAGCAGAGCTGCCTGTCCCGATGTCTTAAGGGGTGGGGGGGGGGGGGGGGTATGCAATTTATTTATACATATTTTATCATTCTTCTGCAGAAAGGAAAGCGAAGCTGGGTGGCTACTTTCTGCTACCCGAGCAGAAGTAAGGCGATGGGGATCTTCCAGGTGCACTTTTGCTGCTTCCTAGGTAATGAAGCGTGGTGGTGGTGGGGGTTTAAGTCATCTCCTGCCTTATTGTTTGAAGAATGCCGCTGGCGTATCCCAGCCAAGAGCAAGCTCTGAATTGAGAAGAACTTGGGTTTTTTCCTCCCGTTCATTCAGAGAAAACTTCTGAAAAGTTCTTGAGAAGTGGTTGTTGTAGAAAAGAAACGCTGGGGCGTGAATGGAGGGGGTTGGGGAATAGCCTCTTTTTTTCCGCCGAGGGAATCGATTTGGGTCAGCTGCGCTCCTTAATCATTGTCTTGATTGTCTTTAACCCCGCTTGGAGACTGCAGGCTCCTTGGGGCACACGCCTGTCGCTCTGGTTGAGGTTTCTCCATAAACCACCCAGACCACGGACTTCGTTGTGTTGCACAAAAAGTTTATGCTACCGTAAAGATGCTAGTCCTTTGCATGCTTACCTGAGAGTCTCTCAGAGCAGGATTTATTTCTGACTAGGGCTGCAATCTCCTGAATACGCATGTCCAGACTGTAACGGTGCAATATTGTGCTGTTAGTCCAGTCTGTCCTCAATGCAATCTGGAGTAATTTGGCATATGATTGCGATGTAAATGTCGGGGGTGGGGAGGAGGTTAGGTTGGCTTGTTTTGCCTATGTTGGAGGGTGTTCTGTAGTTTTCCTGCATCCTTTATCTTGCAACTCAAACTCCTTTTTCAGGAAACACGATTCATGTAGCCAGCGAAGATAAAGAACACCTTTTAATCTGGTCCGTTAAAAAACCCAAAATTTCATCCTTACGCTAAGATTTCGTCTTTTGGTTTGGGGAGCCTGAAGTCCCTTCCAAGCGGTTGATGGGAAAGGGAGGTGCTTCTAATTGCAAGCAGGGGAAGTAGGAAAACTCAGTTAATCCCCAATTGATTTGTGTGCGGGTGGGCAGCAACACACCCAGATATAGTCCAGCCCAAGTGGACATGCAGACCTCTTATCTGAAGCCATCCTAGACTTCTTGGAGCCCAGAAAATACTCGTCTTAGGAGGAGCAGCCCTCTAAATGCACTCCCTTTTATAGCCTTTTGGTTTTCCATGGACCTTTCTTCCCAATTAATGTTCCTCCTAAGAGCTGGTGAACATAACATTACTCTCTGTTGTATGCCTGCCTACGTGCCTCCCCCCCATTTGGAAAGAGGAGTTGTCTGGCGCCATGTGGCTTTAACTGCCTGCTTGTTCTCTGCCACTGGAAGATCCGGAGCACAGCTGGATTGTGTTCCCCTCACCCAAGGAGAAGGAGCTGCCAGAGAAATATTGGCGGGCTTTGACAAGCGAGTCTCTCCTGTTCTACCTCTACCCCTGGAAGGAGAAGCTCTGCCCACCTCCCTGGAATTACAAGTATTCCAGTGGCCAGACTAGTACTGTGAATTTTGTGCTCCTGGAGAAAATCCTAAAGACCGCTCATGCTGCTTGACACTCACCTTCCTTCTAGCCCAACATCTTGTTTCATGCAGTAGGCCAGCCACTGTTTCCATCCAGCTAGGTTAATTGTGGGGAGAAAGGGGTGAAGAACAACCTTAACTGGGTTTAAAACCCAGGACATTTTGTTTTGGAACAGAGATTTATAATGCTGGGAAATTCCCTGGGTTGTTCTCCCTGCCCCTGCATTTCCATAGCATGAAAAGCACCGCCAGTTGAATTCCTGTCCATCTTATAGCTGTTAGGAGCCTGGTCACCAGGATGGCAACGTAATTCTTAAATTATGAAATATGTATTGCAGATCATTGGAGGAGGGGAGTGTGGAGAAAGTACATTTGTTCCCTTTCCTGTACTGTTTTTTTACGAAATACAAACTGAGGGATAATGCAGGCACGCTTTACCTTCTTTTCCCTCCTGTAACTGGAGCAAAGATATGAAGCCCCCAGAACCAGGTGGGCAGATCGCCAGCAGCAGATTCAACCCAGCGATTGTTTGAGTTCCTTTACTACTTGTGGCAGTTTCTTTTTGTGGATCAAACAGGGGTGAGGCACTGGCTCCAGCTCCCCATTTGATGTGCTCCTTTCAAAGTATTGACAATGGTATACTGAAGCAGGAGCTGGCTGTGTGGTGATGTGATTCTTTCCTCACCTTGGTTTTCTGTCTGTGGTGACAAAAAAATCCCACTCATCACAGGTGGAGATGAAATGAGGTTACATGCAGTGCCCTGGAATGATGGGATGACTCAGGTGACTATTTCCCCCATCACCCAATTACTTTTATAGTCATGGCACAGTGGCATACCCTTCCCCATTAAGAATCAATGTGCCTGAAGAAATCCCATTGTCATGTGTTCTGGATTTTATGGCTGCTGCACTTTAAGCAAGCTAGATATTGTTGCTGCTTGTCCAATTTCACAATAGCCATGGAGCTGAGAATGCTTTGAGCCTGTCATAGGACAGGAATTGATGACTCCAGTAAAGCATTTGCTTGCAAACTCATAAAAGCATTGCTAGATAAATAGATTATTTTAAGGTGATGTTGCCTATTCTGGAATGTCTTAGTTCCATAGTAGATAATGGGGTATCCCTTAATCCGGAATATTTAGCAATGTAAATGTAAGCTGACTGTAATCATGGAATCTCTGTTGCTGAAAAGCGTTCCCTTTCTGCTGCTAATCTTGGTTCTCTTTTCATATTTGTAGGCCTCTGGGCCACCGTACTAGGTCAGGAACCAGAATTCAGCTATGGATGTGCTGAGGGGAGCTGCTATCCAGCTACTGGAGACTTGCTAATTGGGCGAGCCTCCAAGCTTTCTGTCACCTCCACCTGTGGGCTACAAAAACCTGAACCGTACTGCATCGTGAGTCACCTCCAGGTAAGCCATAGCTGTACAGCCAGAGAACAGTGCCATTTAAGTACAGTTAGAAATATAAAATTGCCAGAAGTTTTGAAATGGGGAATTCCCCAAATTTCTCCCCTTCCCTTGCCTTTACAGTCTCTAATCATTCAAGTAAAATTGGTCACTGTGTTACTGCTGCCTCCTCCTCCCTTTTCTCCCTTTGGCTGTCCAAGCAGCCCCACACTCTCTCTAGATAAGTAGAAACATCTGGTGCTGCCTAGGGGCTGAGAGGAAGCAGACTGCATCCCTCAGGCATAGATTTGTTTGTACAGTTGCATGTGTCCTGCAGTTTCCTGCTCTTGTTTGTTTTTGCTCCTTAAATGCATCAAACCACTGTCTCCCAGGATTATAAGGAGTGTGAGTACTCTTCCCTGGAAGTTCTCTGTGATACAAACAAAAACTCTGAGCTCAAACTCCTTGGGGCTTTGTCCCAAAATACAGACTGTCCTAGGGAAAAATACAAAATTTTGTCCCTAGGCTCCAAGCTGTAACAAAAGATGTGTCCTTTTGGGTGTGACATAATAGGAACGTCTCCCATTCACCTGTTAATTTTTTTTTTCAGTATTGAAAAAAAATTGAATATTGAAGCAAAGAAAGTTTAATGAGGTGTGATAAAATCCTCTGCCATAGTTGTGCTTCTGTTTGTTTGGACAGTGCTACCCCAAGATATTGTTATGTCCAAAACAGCTGCCATGTGCAGTGCTACAAGTATATCCCAGGATGCTTTGCAGTGGTACAGAGATGCCCCACAAATCACTGCTAGTTTTCCATTTAAGTGACGAGACTTCTGTCAGTTCATTGGTACGCAATCAGAGCTCTACTTTAGAGCAACGGGGGGGGGAGGAGGGAATCAATAAGACAGGAGTCCAGTAATACCTTAAAAAGCGGAAAATTTATTTCTGCATGAGCTTTTGTGAGTCAGGTCACTTAATAAAAAGCATAGTAAAAGGTAAAGGTTCCCTTGCTCGAAAGCCAGTCGAGTCCGACTCTAGGGTTGCGGTGCTCATCTCCATTTCCAAGCCGAAGAGCCAGCGCTGTCCGAAGACATTTCCGTGGTCATGTGGCCAGCATGACTAAACACCAAGGCACACGGAATGCTGTTAAAAAGCATAGTGTGCTCTAAAATAAATGTTGTTAGTCTTTAAGGGACCACTGGACTCCTATTTATTCTCCTGCTACCCACTGAGGGTGAAAGAGGAGAGTGCAAAAGTTGGCTTGAAACTCAACATCAAAAAAACTAAAATCATGGCATCCAGCCCCATCACTCCTCGGCAAATAGAAGGGGAAGTCATGGAAGCAGTGACAGACTTCACATTCCTGGGATCCAAGATCACTGCATATGGTGACTGCAGCCATGCAATTAAAAGATGCCTGCTCCTTGGGAGGAAAGCGATGGCAAACCTAAACAGCATGATAAAAAGTAGAGACATCACCCTGCCAACAAAAGTCCGCATGGTCAAAGCAATGGTATTCCCAGTAGTCATGTATGGCTGCGAGAGTTGGACTATAAGGAAGGCCGAGCGCCGAAGAATAGATTCTTTTGAACTATGGTGCTGGAGAAGACTCTTGAGAGTCCCTTGGACTGCAAGAAGAACAAATCAGTCAATCCTAAAAGAAATCAACCCTGATTGTTCCCTGGAAGGCCAGATACTGAAGCTGCAGCTGAAATTCTTTGGCCACCAAAGGAGAAGGGAGCACTCACTGGAGAAGACCCTGATACTGGGAAAGATTGAAGGAAAAAGAAGAAGGGGCTGGCAAAGGGGAAGATGGTTAGACAGTGTTATCGATGTAACGAACATGAAATTAAGCAAACTCCGGAGCACAATGGAAGACAGGAGGGCCTGGCGTGATATGGTCCATGGGGTCGCGTAGAGTTGGACTCGACTGTGCGACTGAACAACAATACCCACTAACATCTGAGAAAATAATGCATCCATGGGAGACAATATGTGCCATACGCCATGAGGTATTAATCTACAGATTTTTTATTCCGAAGCAGATTTTTGTGGTTTTACTTTAGAGCTCTGAAATGGTGCGTTGATTACGGTTCAAGTTTCAGTTTATTGCCTTTAGCCATAGGCCATTACAATGACAGAACAATATAACAATAACATCTGTGTAAACTTCTAAAACCAGAAGAATTAAAAACTAAGACACAATAAAACATTATAATAATTCCATCTCTCCCATCCAGACTTCCGTTGGTAATCAAGCTATGGTACTGCTACTATTATGGTAGAATTAAGAACTGAGTAATCAAAGTATGAAGCAATAAAGTGAAGCCTCTTTTGGCCCATTTCCCAGTTAAATAAGGCTATGTCGTATGGTTCTTGTCTGGTATTTACCCCCTTTTAAATAAGATTTCCGTACTGAACAAATATTCTGTTGGATTGCTGTGTTGAACAGATGATGACTCTAATGTACCAATTTTAAAACACTTTGGAACGTGGCATACCAAATGTAGAATTTATTTTAGTTGCTTCATTTACATCCCACTATTCTCCCTGGTGGGGACCCAGATTAGTTTACAATTTCAATAGAAAAAACATGACTTTAAAAAGATTTTAAAAGCCTATGCATGCAATCCAGGCATAAGAGCTGATATTCAGGAAAGTCAATTTAAGAAACCAATTTGCCTCTCTGGATCTTTTACACGGAGTGAGAATCTACTGATGTTAATGGCTTCTGAATTCTTTCCTTAGCACTTGTATTTCATATGATCTCTGCTCAGGTATGGTTCTTGTAACTAGCAAACCTCTATGCTTGCTGAGCAAAGCTTTCTGAATCCGAGTCTACCAAGGCAAGTCAGTAGGCTTAAATGGGTGTAGGGATGGGCATGAACCTAAAAAGGGCAGTTTGGTTTGGGGTCCGGGGCAGCCCACAGATCAAACCTTGAACTGAACCAACCCCACACAAACTGAACTGGTCTGGCAAGTTTGGTTCCCTCTTTCTCCCAGGTGCAGCTTGCTGCAGCCAGTAAAAAGGGGACAGGGATCCCTTCCCCCTTTCTCCCAGCCATGGTGAGCCATGGCTGGAAGAAAGAGGGGGATTAACCAGGAAGGGGCTTCCATTTAAGCTGAACAGTGGCCAGTCAGCTGTTAGGTTTAAATGGCTGGCAGCCATTAACCCTTTGGTTTTGCTCCTCGCCTTTGAAGGTGGGGAACAAAACCAGAGGGTTAAATGTGGGGATGAAGGGGGCATTTCACCTCCTCCTTTCTGCTGGCCCAGCTGTCTTGGGCTCCCTCTCACAGCCTGAGACAGCTGAGCCCGCAGAGAGAGTCCAGAGCCCCAAACAGGCCAATAGTCTGATAAATGATTGGGGAATGCGCCTTCCCTGAACATTGGTTCCCAAGCTCTGAGCTGGTTCGTGCCCATCCCTAGGTATTAACTCTGTTTAGGATTACACTGTAAGGCTACTGTACTCTCCCAGTGATGTGGCTCTAAATTCCAGTTATACGTCAGTCTCTCATGTAGCAGATCAGAAGAGGGACCATGTGTCTCATCCATCCATCCTCATCACAGTATCCTTCAGTGTGAGCTAGGGCCTCCGAGCATAATGTTCAAGTCAAATTTGGTCTACTGGCATAGGGTTAAATGCATTGCCCTGTATGTATTATAAATAAGTTGCTCTGACCTGGATAGCCTAGGCCTGCCTGATATTGCCAGATCTCAGAAGCTAAGCAGGGTTGGCCCTGGTTAGTATCTGGATGGGAGACCAAGCTCGTGATGCAGAGACAGGCAATGGCAAACCCCCTTTGAATGTATCGTGCCTTGAAAACCCCATGGAGGTCGCGATCAGTCAGCTGTGACTTCATGGCAATAGCATCATCAACCAATTATAAATAACTCATAATTCACCCGGAAGTCTTCATGCGTATATGAGGATGAGATGTAAACCGCAACGATGTCCCTTTGAATTGCAAGTATGTGCAAAGTTTTCGGCTCGAGTGATTTACAGTGCAGTTCTAAACAGATAGATCAAGATGGGTGGCCATGTTAGTCTGTCTGTAGCAGTAGAAAAGAGCAAGAGTCCACTAGCACCTTAAAGACCTAACAAAATTTCTGACAGGGTATGAGCTATCATGAGTTACTTCTATCTGAAGAAGTGAGTGACTCAAAAAAGCTCATACCTTGCCACAAATTTTGTTAGTCTTTAAGATGCTACTGGGCTTTTGCTCTTTTCTACTAGTTCTAAACAGAGGTACTCTAGTCCACGCCTGTTGAATTCTATGGGCTTAGAAGGTTGTAACTTTGTTTAGGATTGCACTGTGGTATTCTTAGTTGGAATTTTTTACTTACTGTGCACAACGTGTCCAAATGTTTTAGAAAGAAATGCCCAGGGTTTTTTCCCCAAGTGCATCATATGAACTCTGTCTAGACAATTTCCTCATCTAGTTTCTTGTTTAATGTATTCTAGCAACTTTGGTATAGTCATAGATGTAGAGCAGAAAGAATGAATGGAAGCAAACTATTATTCTTACAGGACTTTGTATAAAAAGATAGACATCATATAATCAAGTAGAAAACAACCATAAGAAAGGAAATGTATCAAGTTTCACATTTGCAAATCAGAATGAAACACAACTTTTCTGGAAAATCAGAAAGAGAGACAGAGAGGTTCTTCCAGGGGGGCTAAGAACATCTGGGAAACATCTGGTTGAGGATGTCTTACCTCTTAGGGATGATGATGTAAACAGGGGTCTTTTGGGGCCGGAGCAGCCCAGGACCCGGCGCAAATGGTGGCGCGGCAAGCCCCGCCCCCAGCTCCCCGTGCCGAAGCGCTGGGGCCAGGGGAAGGCCTGAAGAGCCCCACAGCTGGGTCCCCTGGGCCCACGCGGGAGCTCTGGGGCCGGGGGGAAGCCCAGATATCCCCACAGCCGGGTCCCCCAGGCCCGCCTTTCTCTCCCTCTTTCCTTCCTTCTTTCCTCCTTTCCCTCCTTCTTCCCTTCTCTCTCTTTCTTTCCCTCCTTCGTTCCTTCTCTTTCTTTTCCTCTTTCCTTCTCTCTTTTTATTGCCTTTCCTTCCTTCTTTTCTTCCTTCTTTCCTTCTTTCTCTCCCTCTTTCCTTCCTTCTTTCCTCCTTTCCCTCCTTCTTCCCTTCTCTCTCTTTCTTTCCCTCCTTCGTTCCTTCTCTTTCTTTTCCTCTTTCCTTCTCTCTTTTTATTGCCTTTCCTTCCTTCTTTTCTTCCTTCTTTCCTTCTTTCTCTCCCTCTTTCCTTCCTTCTTTCCTCCTTTCCCTCCTTCTTCCCTTCTCTCTCTTTCTTTCCCTCCTTCGTTCCTTCTCTTTCTTTTCCTCTTTCCTTCTCTCTTTTTATTGCCTTTCCTTCCTTCTTTTCTTCTTTCTTTCCCTCTTTCCTTCCTTCTTTCCTTCTCTCTACTCTCTTTCCTTCCCTCTTTCCTTCTTCTGTGGCCCAACTCTAGTGAGAAGGGGTTTAAACCCCTTCTCTCTTCGCCCCCCCCCCTGCAGGCCAGCTGGGAAAGGGAAGGGGAGGCTTTTGAAGATGCCTCCCCCCCTTTTGCTTCCCCTTTTGACATCACTTCCGGTGATGTCAGGGGTCGTGGCATATGCTAATAATAGCCTAGTTTCTCATTAGCATACCATATGCTAATGAGCTCCTGCAGCTCTTTTCTATGAAAAGACCCCTGGATGTAAATATTTTATGCCACCTAAGTAGGGATAGGGCTATAACTTGGGTATATGGGAAGAAATGACAACTGCTTAAACAGGCCAAAAGAAAAAACTGCACACACACAGGAGATATGGAGAGGGATGCAATATACGTGGGTTTATTTACTAATGCTAAAAGCCAAGACAAAGGGGCTAGAGTTCTTTGTATACAGGGCATATCAAAAACCTTTTGAAACTGAAGGGATTGCTGATCTTGAGACAGAGAAAGAAATCAGGGAGGCAGCCAAAGGAGCAAGTATCGTAGTACTTTGACTAAAAACACTATCACACAGGTTGGGTAAACATAATTTTGGATTGCAACAAAGAGGTAAAATTTCTAGATAAATGGCTATGCCCTGGACCAGTCATGGAGTCAACTGAACAAGCAACAACCCTAGATTTAATCCGGCTTGGTGCTCAGGAAACTGATTGATTAATCTGTTTAATTACAGGAGGATAAAAAACGTCTGCAATCCAATTCAACATAAATACGATTAGAAAATGGCCCAGAAAGTCCGACTTGCTTGAGTCTAATTTCAAAAGATGAGACTTCTGATAAAAGAATGGATGAGTTAAAAGAAAGTTAGGAGGAAGAGTCAGGAGAGTCAAAGTTGTTCAAAACAACAGTAGTAGAAATTCAACTGTAATATATGGTTCATGAGTAGAGTCAAGGAAGCTATCAAAAGAATGACGTTTTCTTTTAAAAATCAGCCTTGCCCAAATGAAGAGAACCAAAAAGAGCACAAAAAAGAAGCAAATTAATGCGCAAAAAGAAATAATTTCAGGACTATAGTGCTCAAAATGTTGCAAACAAAAAACTTTAATTTACATACATCAAAAGTAAGAGGCCAGTCAGAGTGTTGGTTGGAATGCAGGAGAATAAAAAATTGCTAAAGGAGGATAGAGAGACTGAAGAGAAGCAGAATGAAATCTTCACCTCAGTCTTCACTGGCAAAAATGTTGGACATTCTCTCTTTTTCCCTTTGTCTTTCAGGAAGGGCATATGAAAAAGTAAGTGAAATAGATGTGACAAAAGCTCACGTTTTAGAGCTTGCAGACAAACTAAAAAATAATATGTCACCAGGTTCAGATGGTGTATTCTCAAGAGTCCTTCAAATATGCAGTTGTGAATTGTGTACTTGGTGGGCTTTGTGGAGCAGGATTAAAGCCTTTGCAAGACTGATTGATTAATCTGTTTAATTACAGGAGGATAAAAAATGTTTTATATGTGATTCACGGGACCCATTCCATGAGACTATCAATCCTGACAGCCACCGAATTGAAAATGTGGTCACTACCTTTGCTCCAAACCGGCTCAAACTGTGGTGGCAGTCGGAGAACGGTATGCTATTTGTGTGGAAATAGTTGTCCAAGAACAACCTTGGTTTCCGTGTGCTCACGATGATCTCTGCCTTGTAATTACTTCTTCCACTACTTAATTTCAGTGTCTTAAACACAAAAGAGATTTTCTTTTTGTAAAACTAGAGCCTGCAATTCAAGTTGCTATTTTGTTTGAGGCAGCATTTTTCAGTACACTTCAAAATATTGAAAAAAGACAACAGATCAAGATATACTGTTATCAAGAAAGATAGGTTTCATATACTAGCTTTGATCTTTTTCCCCTCTGAGGTTAAAGTGGGCATATGAGGGAATGTTTTACCTGGAATCATTCCATTGTTGATCAGGTAGAATAGTCCCTGTTTCAAGTCTTTGATTTATTGTTATACAGTGGTTTATTACATGTACCATAATGTGATTTATTAATATGGAACTATCCAACTTTGTAGTTGGGAAAGAAGGCCTTTCATTTAAGATATTTCTATATAGGTTCTGCTTTTTCTTACAGCTCAATGGGGATTTCTGCCCCACCACTTGTGTCTTCTTTTCTCTCACATTCCCACCACTTGGGAACTAGGGGTTGATGAGAGTAACAAACAGAAGGAAGGAGAATGCTTGCATACTAACCTCAACTGCTCAGAACCTTGCTGGTAGCTGTAGGCTGTTGGGGAAGAGGTTGGGTGAAGGTGTTTGACAGAGGAGCAAGCCTTGAGGGGTCTCTACCTTTGGTAGGCATCCTCAGGTTCCTGGATTAAGCCCCTTCACCAGAGTGTTGCCTGGGAAGGTTCATGGTATAAGGTGACAGTTATATAAATGAACAAGGATTTCCTAACTTGTATGGTATTCAGATACTACAGTACTAGACTTAACATGACTACGCAATTCCTGTGAAGAAAAGTACCCAAGTGTTGCATTAGCGTTCTCACCCAATAAATAGTTGCTGTGACTTTCAAACCTGAATGGCTATTGTGAATGTTTAAACCAGCAGACAGTTGGTATTGCTGCCCTCTGTTTGTGGCATACTTAATTCGGGATTATGTGGGTTATTCTGGAGGATGGTGTGCCGCTGAGCAAGCAGTATTGAGAATACTGAATAAGAAACACTAGAGACAGCCTGACTTAGTTTTGTAAACTATCCTTTTGGTCCCTTCATGTTCTGTGATTAAACAGAGCCAATTTGGTGTAGTGGTTAAGTGTGCGGACTCTAATCTGGGAGAACCGGGTTTGATTCCCCACTCCTCCACTTGCACCTGCTGATGTGACCTTGGGTCAGTCACAAGCTCTGGCACAGCTATTCCTGAAAGAGCCGTTTTGTGTCAGAGTTCTCTCAGCCCCACCCACCTCACAGGGTGTCTGTTGTGGGGAGGGGAAGGGAAAGGAGTTTGTAAGCCGCTCTGAGACTCCGAGTGAAGGGCGGGGTATAAATCCAATCTCCTCTTCTTCTTATATCTGAGTTGGCGTTTGGTCATGCAAGCATTTATTATAGATGCTAATACTATCATAACTGCTATAAAAAAGTCATGAGTATAAGAGTTTTTGAGATGGAGAATTTTAAAGCAGAGAGATACTGTAGCCTGTGACACTGATGACAAAGGTGTTTTTATTTTACTGAGAATAGAGTTGAGCCTTAACTTAGCCAAGGCCGTTCAGAAAGTCTACAGCAAACTGTAATAGAATCTAAAATGTAATTACTCCCACTTCCGTACCTTGGCCAGAGGCCCCTTTGTCTTCCTCAGACAAATGCTAATACCATGTTTTTGCTGGACAATGGCAACATTCAGAGACTGAATTGTATTAGCATTTTATACTTGGGTTTCATTTGGCCAATAAAAGACATTGTTTTTTGTAGTTGCAATCTAATAGTTGCTTGGAAAAAGTTATGGTTATCTTGCTGTAATTTACAAGCAATTCTGAAATCTGCTGCAAAATCTTACAGCCCTGTTCAGCTCACATTTATTTGGGAGCCAGTCCCGTTGACTACAGCTGGACTTACTTCTAACCTGGAGCACTGCCTTAGTTTACAAAACTAAGTCATGCTGTCTCTAACGTTTCTTATTCAGTATTCTCAATATCTTCCTGTTGCACTGAACTTAAACATGTATAGGTGAAGCAGGAAAGTTTTAACTTAAATTATTACTGATGTTTTAATTAAAATTATAGCTGTTTACAATTTTGCTGAGGTGGCTCAAGTGGTTAAGACGCTGAACTGCAGGCTGTGGAAGGTCAGTAGTTCAGCAGTTCAGGACCCGAGTTGCCGCATAACAGAGTGAGCTCCCGTCTCTAGTTCCAGCTCCTGCCAACCTAGCAGTTCGAAAGCAAGAAATTGCAAGTAGATAAATAGGTACCACTTCAGTGGGAAGGTAACAGCGTTCCATGCGCCTTGGTGTTTAGTCATGTCGGCCACATGACCAGGGCATTGTCTTCGGACAGTGCTGGCTCTTTGGCTTTGAAACACAGATGAGCATCGCAACCCTAGAGTCGGATTCGACTGGCTTTCGAGCAAGGGAACCTTTACCTTTACCTTTTTACAATTTTGAGTGTTCTGTTCTGGTACAGACTATTTGTGCTCACAGTTTTCACTGGTGATTTTTCCATCGAAGAGGAACATCAACCATCTGGCACTGGCTGGCCCTAGCTGAAGGTTCCTATTTCTGCAAAATCTAAGCTTTTGTTTTTAAAGGACCTCTAGGCTACCTAGTATACTTGTGGCAGCCTGAACAGCCCAGCTTGTGAGTTCATCAGAACTTGGAAGCTAATCAGGGTAGGCACGGGTTAGTACTTGGAAGGGAGACCACCAATGAAGAAGACGGGTTACTGTGCAGAGGAAGGCCATGGCAAACCACCTCTGCTCATCTCTTTCCTTGAATGCCCTGCAGAAGGGGTCACCGTGAGTCAGTTGAGACTCGATGGCACATTATTCATTCAGTAAGCTTGTATGTAGCAAGCTCTGCTTTTCATCAAGGACTGGTGCAATAACAAGAGCAGAGTCTGTACCAGTGCACTCCTAAGAGCACTTTCATAGGGGCAAGCTGCACTGAATCAAATTGATTTTACTTTTGCGTTTACTTCTGCTTAGACTCGCTCCCATGGCCTCTCAGGGCTATCTGGTATCTAGAGCAGTACTGCCTCAGTACACAGAAGTTCCAGTTCACTAAATTAATTATTGACCATGACAGCGAAATGGAACTTCCATGCAGAGGTGCACTGTACCCTTGAATACTGTGTGCCGGAGGCAACAGGAATGAGCACTGCTGTGCTTCTTGAGCTTCCAGAATCACCTGGCTGGCGGGTCTTGAAAATTCTTTGTATTTGTCTCATCTGTTTAAGAATGAGATAAGCCCAGGTAAAGAGATGGAGGTAAGGGAAAGACAGTAAATATACTTTTTTGAACCATTCAGGGTATCACAAACAGGATGATGTCATTAACACTGACAGTCATCCAGAGTACTTTATTATGTAAATGCTTGATTATAGCATATGAGCTCAAGAAACATTGACAAGGATGAATGGAAAGCCATGGAGTGATCCCATGTAACATCTCTGCTCTCTCAAGAGCTCTTGTACAAACAGAAACAAGGGATTGTTAGAGCAAGTAGCCTTTGAGCTAAATCAACTTGTGTCTTCTATCTTGCACTTCCATTTGTGCCAGACATAGACCCCCCCCCCCCCGATCACCTTCTTTGAGGAAATCAAATCACACTTCCAACTTGGGCTGTACTGAATGCATCAAATAGGCTTTTGCTTTTCAGTTTTTGTACACAGTTACACTGGTCAGAAATTTTTAAAATAGGCACTTGATCTTACAGTAGCTTTTGCGTAAACAGAACTGCATGAAACAAACATTCTCTTCCACTTTCACCTGGTGAGATCCAACCCCACAGGTCATGTAAAAAGGTAAAGATAAAGGTTTCCCTCGCTCGAAAGCTAGTCGAATGCAACTCTAGGGGGCAGTGCCCATTTCTGTTTGAAATCTGAAGAGTCAGCACTGTCCGAAGATGTTTCTGTGGTCATGTGGCCGGCATGACTAAATGCCGAGGCACACGGAACACTGTTACATTCCAACTTATTTAGTGTACCAAGGTAATGGTCCTGGAAATTGTGAAACTTTGTCCACTAGGTAAAGCCTTCCTGGTGCTGCCCTGGTATTACCACCAGTTATTACCAGTTTGATGTAGTGGTTAAGTGCGCAGACTCTAATCTGGGAGAACCGTGTTTGATTCCCCACTCTTCCACTTGCACCTGGCTGGATGACCTTGGGCAAGCCGTAGTTCTGATAAGAGCTGTTCTTGAAAAAGAGCAGTTTCTGTCAAGAGCTCTCTCAGCCCCACCTACCTCACAGGGTGTCTGTTGAGGGGAGGGGAAGGGAAAGGAGTTTGTAAGCCGCTCTGAGACACCTTTGGGTAATGAAGGGTGGGGTATAAATCCAATCTCTTCTTCTTCTCAATATTCTTGGTCATAGAGGTATACAGTTATATACTATATTATTATTGGTTGGTCATATAAAACCATCTATACTGAAATTTTATTATTCATAACTAGGAATAAGGTCTGTTGTGGAAATAAATACAACAAGCTCTAGAAAGAGGCTCTGGGAGAGTGCTGCAGCTTTGGGCACACAGTGTCAATTTGCTGTAGTGACCTCAGCAGGGTATAATGACACAGAGGCCACCATTTTCTCCAGAGGAACTGATCTCTGCTACCTGAAGAGCAGTTGTAATTTTGAGTGATTTCCAGCCCTCACCTGGAGATTGTCAACAATGGTTGCCCATGAGGGAATGGCTGTTTTGTAGGGTGGAGTCTATGATACTGTACCTGTCTGAGTTCCCACCCCTCCTCAAATCTCACCCTTTCCAGGCTCCACCCCTCAAATATCCAGGAATTTCCCAACCTGGAGTTGGCAACCCTATCTCCCTCCAACCGTCAACCTACCGTTATCTTCCCCCTGACTTCAGCTTTCCATCTCCTCCCCCTCCCTCTTGGAGAGCAGTTGTAATTCTGAGTGATCTGCAGCCCCCACCTTAAGATTGGCAACAATGGTTCCTTAGGACAGAATGGCTGGTTTGATGGGTGGAGTCTATGGCATATCTGTCTGAGGTCCCACCCCTCCTGAAACCTCACCCTCTCCAGGCTCCATCCCTCAAATCTCCAGGAATTTCCCACCTGGAGTTGGCAACCCTATCAGGACCGCCCCCAATGAGTTTTCTCCCAAAGGCCAAAATAGGTGACAGGACCAAGCTTGGTTGCCTACCAACAGGCACTGAGGGGAAAGTAGGGTTGCCAGCTCTAAGTAGGGAAATACCTGGAGATTTGGGGGGTGGAGCCTGTGGAAGGCAGCATTGGGTGGGGCGGAAGGACTCAGCAGGTTATAACTCCATAGGGTCTACCCTCCAAAGCAGCCATTTTCTCCAGTGGAACTGATCTCTGTCATCTGGAGATCAATTGTAACAGTGGGAGATCTCCAGGTCGCACCTGGAGATTGGCAACCCTAGGGGAAAGTCAGCTGCGCAGCTGGGGGTTGAAGAGAATGGTTTAATAGCCGCTGGCCCACCTCATTAGCCAGACAGACAGCCATAGTGGAGCCAAGCAGGAGAGAGTTTTCTGTCAGGAAAGTGGCCAAGCTGGCAGTGGGCGGGGGAGGGGGTTACACTGAACCAAGCTTGGTTGCCTACCAACAGCCACTGAGGGAAGCAGCAGAAGTGTCTTCGTCAAGGGAGAGAGAGCGATCTGCCAGTTATTCTGAGAGGCAAGGTAGCTGCAGTGGGAGTGGGCGGGGAACAGGAGCAGACCCAGCACGTGACCAATGGCACACGAGTACTCTTGAGTGGCGGCTGACGGACAAATGGCTGAGGGAGTGCATTGCACAGCCAATGGGAGAGCTGTAAAGGGCCACCCCAAAACAATTATTATATAGAGAAAATAGAGAGATTTCTATGTTGGTTTTTTAAAGATTTTATTGCATTGCTTTTGCTTTGTGAGCTAGGTCTGGAAAGGCGGCATATACATTTATTTTATTAAGTTTTTAGCCTGCCTTCCCCCGCTTAGTATAACAAACGTGCTTAGCATAACAAATTTAAAGATTATGCATTGAGACCCTGAGAATATTCTCATGTTGAGCGTCTAGTAACATAAGTGCAAGAATCTGCTAAAGGCAGAGTTCAATCCTAAACATAGTTACACCCTTCTAAGTCCATTTAAGTCAATGAGTTTAGAAGGGTGTAACTCTGTTTAGGATTGTGCTATTAGTTTTTTCGGCATCTAGCCATTGTGGGGGAGGGTAAAACAATAAGCTATAGGATTCTCACTCAAAATAGACTGGACAAAAAAACAAACACATTTTTGTACAGATTGAATCCCTTGAGGGGGGAAATTGATGAAATTAGAACCCTGACCAATGTTCTTGTTTACTGTGCAACAACATCCCATGTGTTCTGTTGGTTTCGTAGGGTTGGAAAATGTCACAATCCAGCTGGATTTGGAAGCTGAATTCCATTTCACTCATCTCATCATGACCTTCAAGGTAAAGAATCCATAACATTCTCTCAGTTCACAAATGAGCAACTGTGCAGTCGGGTATTGGTCAGTCAGAGGCGCAACTAGCTGTTTAAAATTAAGACAAGCAACATTCCTGATTTCAAGAGCTCTCTCTCTCTGTCTTTCTGTCTTTCTCTTTCTCTCTCTTTTTGTTTGTTTTGGGAAACAAAGCTATTAATATTGGAATGCAAGAGAGAAAACAGACCATAAAATTGTTAGCTTTGAAATGCAGTTTAATTAGCTTTTCCTGTAGATAAGCCTGGTTTGAGTAAATCCCAAACACTAATAAGGCAGAAAGAGATTTGGTGTTCCTTCCTGTTTGTTCTCTGTAGCAGAAATGAAGAGTTGCTCTGTTTTTGAAAGTGCCATATTTCTTTTTTAAGTACAATTTCTGTAGGGTTTTTTTCATCCTAATGTTTATTGAAAAAAGTTAATCTGCCTTTCCATCATATAGATTTTCAGTGCAACTAAAAACATATGAAAATGCATTAGAAGTTAGGTCAGTTAAATTATGCTGAATTGGAACAGCAGAACAAAACCTTCAGGAGGAAAATAAAACTGCTAGTCAGCTTGTGCTAAACTCCAGTATCTTCCTAAATAGCCTTGTTCTTGCTGTCCTCTGAAAGGAAGGCAATCCTGGGGCCAGGTGAATCTTCTGTGGGAGGGCATTTCCTAAGAGCAACACCGTGACTGGAAAAACCCCATCCTGTATGCAGTACACCTCAAGCAATGCTAGGCACAGAGAACAAGGCCCTCATGCTGCCCTGAGTGTTTGGCAACGCACATAAATCATTTTGGAAATTATTGCAATTCATAAGAAGCAATAAGAAGACAGCATTAATATTTTTCTGAAATTGGTGCTTCGGAAGTTGTGCTGTGTGTTTTCCTTTATGTTGCTTGCTTTATGTCAGTGAACTTAGAAGGACATATTTCTACTTAGAATTAGAGTGTACAGGCACCCTTTTTTCCCCAGTACTACTCAGATTTGTCCCAGCCTTCACAGTAAGATTCTTTAAGACAACAGAAATATTGGCTTTAGAGCTCTTTTACATTTGACCACTGACATCATTACAGGAAAAAGGAACATCTGTATACAAAGTACTTTTGTTTCCTTCGGAACAGATGTTCTGGCAGAACGGTTGTACCATATGGCTCAAAATATATTTTGTTGGGGAGGTACATCATAGTTTGGCAGTACTGAGACTTAATTCAGAAAATCTCTACTGGGATTGTATTCATTAAGGATAAATATATAATTTATGTGAAAGTGATTTGGAGACTAAATTTTGGACTCAGTGAGAATTCTTTTTACTAGAAAATGTTGTCATTGTTTTTAAATGATAAGCACCTAATTCTCTGTAGAAATACTAACCATTGTACCTGCCTACTTTGTAGCTTATTAATTAAATATATTTCAAGGAATACATTTCCAAAAGCCTAATACATTAATTTTCTCTCTGTAGACTCCTACAAAGCTGTTGGATCACATTTCTTCTTCACTTTCTTTTGCAGCAGTGCCAAGAGCACAATTAGAATATTTAGTGACATTTCAGTTTTCACCTAAAGGTTTGCTTACATAATCCTGCTTTTCTCCCCAAAGTGGTTTGTAGCATCCCTCCTCTCTATCTTATCTGTTGAACTACAGCCCTGTGAGGTAGGCTAGCTTGAGAAACCCAAGGTCACCTAGTGAGTTTCCGGTGGAAGAGTGGTGATTCAACCTGTTTCTCCCAGGCTCTAGTCGGGCACTCTTAACTACTACACCATGATGGCAGATTGCTTACCTCTTTTGCCATGCATGTGGGTTCACAGAGCTTACCAAGCACTCCTGGTTTTTAGTTAACACATTTTTAGCTTATCATTCCTCTAGGGAGCTTAGGCTGGCATACCTATTTTATCTGAGGTCTGTTGGGCTGAGGGAGACTGATCTCCAATTTGCCCTATTTGGGTAAACTAATTGAGAGGGTGGTGGCGATTCAGTTGCAAAGTTTTTTGGATGACACCTCTGCATTAGATCCCTTCCAGTCCGGCTTCCGACCAGGCCACGGGGCGGAGATGGTACTGGTCGCCCTCACAGACGACCTCTGGAGGCATCTGGATCGGGGCAGGTTGGCGGTGTTGCTGTTGTTAGACCTGTTGGCAGCATTCGACATGGTCGGCCACCAACTACTGACCCACCACCTCGCCAACACCAGGATTCAGGGGTTTGCCTTGCAGTGGCTCTCCTCGTTCCTTCAGGGTCGAGGACAAAGGGTGGCCGTTGGGGAACAGCTGTCCCGAAGGCACCTGCTAGTCTGCAGAGTGCCCCAAGGCGGTGCTTTCCCTGATGTTATTTAACACCTATATGCGCCCCCTTGCCCAGATTGCCCGGAGTCATGGGCTGGGTTGTCACCAATATGCGGACAACACCCAGCTCTATCTGTTGTTGGATGGCCAGTCTGACTCTAGTCCAGAAGATCTGGACCTGGCATTGAAAGCTGTGGCTGGTTGGCTTAGACTGAGTCGATTGAAATTGAATACGATGAAGACAGAGGTCCTGTGCCTGAGTTGGAGGGGTCCGAGGGTAGGTACCCCACTGCTGATCTTCAGTGGGGCACAGTTGGTGCCAGCATTGGAGGTTAGGAGCTTGGGAGTGCTCCTGGATGCCTCCTTAACGATGGAGGCCCAGGTAGCAGCCACTGAGAAGTCAGCCTTCTTCCATCTCCGGCTGATTAGGTAGTTGGTTCCCTTCCTTGAATGCAATGACCTGGCAACAGTGTTCCATGTAATGGTCACCTCAAGACTGGATTACTGTAATGCTCTCTACATGGGGCTGCCCTTGTCCCAAATCCGGAAGCTGCAGCTAGTGCAGAATGCAGCGGCCAGGCTGTTGTTGGGTCTCCCTATGCGGGAGCACATCAGGTCTGCGCTAAAAGCACTGCACTGGCTGCCTATAGCATACCAGATTCGGTTCAAGGTGCTGGTTCTTACCTTTAAAGCCCTATATGGTCAGGGACCTACACACCTAAGAGACTGCTTTTCCCCACATGTTCCCCAGAGAGCACTACGATTGGGGACCCAAAATCGTCTGCCCCTCTTGGGTCCTAGAGAAGCTAGGCTAGCCGTGACGAGGGCCAGGGCCTTTTCAGTGGCGGCTCCACCCTGGTGGAATGAGCTCCTGGATGACCTTTTACAGTTCCGCAGGGCCTGCAAGATGGAGCTCTTCCACCAGGCCTTTGATTAGGGAGCCGCCATCAATAAATTGTGGCCCTGGCCCTAATACCAACATCAGTATTAACATCACTTTTAACAGCCTGTCCAAACTATGATGTTAGCTGATTATGGGTTAACGTTGGATGCTGCTAATTCCTGCCCCTGGTTACGAATCTGCACTAGCACTTTATGCTATGTTTTATAATCATTTTGTTGTGGTTTTATTGAATGTTGTGTTTTAGTTGTTCAACATATTTTATGTCAGCCGCCCTGAGCCTGCCTTGGCAGGGAGGGCAGGATACAAATCAAACAAACGAACTAACAATAAATTATCCCAAAGTCACTGAAGACTTTATGGCTGAATGGGATTTGAACCCAGGTCTCCCAAGTTCTAATGGCTTTGTCACACTAGGTTTCTATTCCTTCCTGTGCTGTGCTGAGTTCTCTAACATTAGCTTGACTAAATGTGCCACTGTAGTCTGTTTTCCAGCTTTCCAAACCCAAAGTTTTTTTGCATGGTATTTCCCCTTATCTAGCAAATCCTCACGGTTGCCGGCCTTCAAGTCAAACCTAAAGATCTCCCAAAATTACAACCGATCTCTAGACCAAAGGGATCAGTTCCCTTGGAGAAAGTGGCTGCTTTGGAGGGTGGGCTCTGTGGGCACTAATGCCCTGCTGAGCTCCCCCCCCCCATGAACTCCCCAGGCTCCACCCCCAAAATCTCCAGGAGTTTCCCAACGCACACCCAGCAACCCTACTTGAAATCCTTCACAAGAGCAAAAAGATTATCAAAGTGCGCAGGGTGTGTGTGTGAATCTCTTAAATCTTACCTTTCGAATTGTGGAAGTAAAAGAGATCAAGCGAGAGATAAGGACCTCTTTTTTCCTTATTGTTATAGATCACAATATCTGATTCACAGGCTCTGTACAACATGATCATAGTTACGTTTCGCCATTGATGGACAGGTGTCACTAAGCAAGTGCGCCCTTATTTTTACTGATAATGTTTTGCTCTACCCTTACTTTAAACTTGTGGGTACCTCATCTACCAAGGAGCACCATCCTTATGTCTTTGGGGGATTTTGCTGGTGCAGGTGTGCCTTGCACTGGAGCATCCTGAGTGACTGAACATCATTATTAACATGCTGATTGGCTTATGGATGCACTGACCGGGTTGAACACCTGCAGTTACAAGAGGCTTATTGTTATTTTAAACATATGCTGTAGATTGGCATGTATAGTCCACATTGTATGAAGTGGGGGTGGGGGGAAAGATACAGAAAACAAAGTGGACTTGGGAAAATTTAAAATAAAAGTCTGCAAGTTGTTTTGACTGATCCAAAGGCCCAGATAATATGCAGTTTAAAATTCTATCCAACTGTCTGTTGTTGCTTCTGATTCTTAGACATTTCGCCCATCTGCAATGCTGATTGAAAGATCCTCAGATTTTGGGGGAACTTGGAAAGTTTATAGATACTTTGCCTATGACTGCGAGAACTCTTTCCCGGGAGTTAACGCTGGACCAATGAAGAAAATAGATGATGTGATTTGTGATTCCCGTTATTCTGATATTGAACCTTCAACTGAGGGAGAGGTTGGTAGTTTCATGTACAATGGATCTGCCGTATGAGTGATGTAGCAATTTCTGTGCTCCTCATAAATCCACATGTTTGTTCCAGATCATTTTTCGAGCTCTAGATCCTGCTTTTAGAATTGAGGACCCATACAGCCCAAGGATTCAGAGTATGTATGCCATTTCTTTTCCCTTTTAATTTCTAATCATTGCACAGACATACCTCATATGTCTGAGAGGTGTATCCCCTCTCGTAGAGGAAGTAAGGCTGAGAAATAGTGACACATGTACAAGAGCAGTCAGCAATTTGTTGACTGTTTTGGTATTTGAATGCTGACCTCTGAGACTCAGGTTTTTACATTCTGCTGGTAGCATAGCTTCTCTTTCACTTTATAAGTTAAAGAAAAATGGTTCCGTGTAGTAGCAACTTGCTGTCCTGTGGTGAGATGTGGGTTGTTTATGTCCTCTCTTCAGAGTGTTCTTTATATGAGCTCTGAAATCTCTTTTCAGATTTATTAAAGATCACTAACTTAAGAATTAAATTTACCAAGCTGCATACACTGGGAGACAACCTTCTGGACTCTAGAATGGAAATCAGAGAAAAATATTATTATGCCGTTTATGACATGGTGGTCCGTGGGAATTGTTTCTGTTATGGTCATGCCGGTGAGTGTGCACCAGTCACTGGATATGATAAAGAGGTGGAAGGAATGGTAAGCATTTACATTACTTTGCCAGCAAACAGTGTTAAGCTCATTTTGGCTCACACTAAAAGTTCCCATCTATAAATAATCCATTTGGGGCAATACCAATACAAAAAATTTAGCAAAACTTGGTCTTGTATGGATTTAGGCATTATTTTATTGAAAGCCACTTGTTCAGTCCTAATTTGTCATACTTGCATACCATAAAAAATGTAACGTTTAAGTGGCTCTTTCTCTGCACTGCAAAGAGGAACTTGATTAGTCTGAGACAGTGTTTTCAAGCCCTCACCCCCTGAGACCTTCATCGCTGAACAGATATTTGAATCTGGAGTTCCAGCTGCCACACCATCCTTCATCATTGTTACTATGCTGGATATTTTCATTTGCTTCTTTAT